AAAAGATAAGAAAAAAATCAAAGCAAATACTATGTTTGTCTGAAGTCTTCCCAGGCTTTTTGCCTGTGTACACATCAATCATTACAAGCATTGCTTACATATCACAGTCCAAATCAACAATGCTGAATCATCTGCTTACTTAAAGAAAATGCCTAAAAAGAATCCCTAACATTTCTATCCACTTGGCATTGCAAGAAACCTAACAGAAATAGTCTTAATGTTAAACATCTTCAAGCACTGCATGCTATGATATTACCTTCTTTTTCCATCATTCCCAACCCTGGACCCTTGCTATCCTGTCCTGCTTCCTACATACTACTGAGTATTTTACAGCCGTGGAACTTTGTTCTAATTTGTTTTCTTTTCCAGTATAAGCCAAGAACCATATAGACCTGCAATTCACATTGACCCAAATTCCTTGAGATGATGTTGAAAGGTTTTGTTTGATCTTCTACATTTAGAAAGGGATTTGGATAACATTTTATATACTGGAAACTCTGCCCTTATTCAAGATGTTGACAATCTGTTAGCCACTCCTTCACTGAAATCTTACTACTTTTGTAGACCGTATGTTACAAAGCCTCTAAAAATACATGGTGACACCTGTCTCAGATTCATGACTCAGGACATGACAAATTTATACCAATAGGAGTGAGGTCATCTTTTAGGATAAAAACTAATCTCAGTGTCCCAAGACTCACTTGAATTTCACAAATGTCCACCCTCTTAGATATAGCTAGCTATTGCTTACGTAGTATATAGAATATGCTTCTATTCAAAGCTTCTATTTGTGTGTATGTGAGTGTTCAGTCATGTCCAACTCTTTGCGACCCCATGGACTGTAGTCTGCCAGGATCCTCTGTCCATGGGATTTCTCAGGGAAGAATACTGGAGTGGGTTGCCATTTCCTCCTCCAGGGGATCTTCCCAACCAAGGGATCAAACCCACATCTCTTACATCTCCTGCATTGGCAAATGGATTCTTTACCACTGAGCTACCTCAGAAGCCCAAAGCTTCTATTGCATCCTGTTTAAATGAACATCCCAGAGTCATGATCTTTGTCACAAGAAGCCAAATAGTCTTTTTTTCTAATTTCAACAAATCTTATAGAGAAACCTAGAACTGTCTTCTTGGTAATGATAAGTCTACATATTTTTTGTTGTGAGGAAAAAGAAACTATTTTAGGTGTTAACACAGCTTCATGAAGACAAAGAATGTTCCACTCATTAGTATGAGTCAGTTCTTCCCAGATCTCTTTGACTTAGCTATTCCCCACACAATCACAGCATTCCTAAAGACATATTCTAATGTATCTTTAAAATATGCAATTTTATTCTTCTCTGCAAATAGAGAAGGCTGGGCTCATATTAAACTCAACCTGTTTGTTACCACTTCAATACAAGTGGAGTTTCATGACTGTCTTACAGCCCCTGCCCACTGTTCAAACCCATTATTAACTGCAAAAGCTTTTTATCCCCCAAATTATTGACCTCATGCTTTAGGTAGATATGCCCTGTCAATGGCCAGAAGGAGTGGGGTTAGAATATGCAGCAATATGGGAAAGTAGAAATTCTTCCATACTGTCTATTCTTGCTTACCCACATGACTGGATTTATCATTTTTGGTCTTATTTATGGTTATGGACAATGAAGGAAACAAGAGTTCATCACCTCAGTAAGTATAAAAACATTTATTTGTTCATTTATGATCTGTCAGACATTATCATGGCTTCCCAAGTGGCACTAGTGGTAAAGAATCTGCCTGCCAATGCAAGAGATACAGAAGATGCAGCTTTGATCCCTGGGTCTGGAAGATCCTCTGGAGGAGGCGGAAATGGCAACTCACTCCCATATTCTTGCCTGAGAAATCCCACGGACAGAAGAACCTGGCAGGCTACAGTCCATGGGATCCCAAAGAGTCGAACACAACTGAGCATTACTACTACTATACATTATTATATTGCTGCCATAAAGGGTTTTGATCTCTAAATGACTTACACAGAGAAATGGTTTGGCTCACACTACAGCCAAAGCAACTGCCACTTTCTCTTTCTGGGTCCAACTAGTTGCCTCTGAAAACTTTGTGTTGTTACGTCTCAGATTCAAGATTAAACAAAATAACAAACAAAACTTACTGACTCATAAGGTGCCTCTTTTTCTCACATTTGTACAGGCCCAAAGACCTTCTTCTTGCTTTCGTGGCCTATGGAATGAAAAAGGTAAACAAAAGTACGTACACATGTGCTCAGTTGCTAAGTCATGTCTGACTCTTTGCAACCCCATGGACTGCAACCCAACATGCTCATCTGTCCATGGGATTTCTCAAGCAAGAATACTGGAGTGGGTTGCCATTTCCTTCTACAGGGGATCTTCTGACCCAGGGATCGAACCCTCATCTCCTGCATTGGAAGGAAGATTCTTTACCACTGAGCCAGAAAGGAAGCCCTAAACAAAAGTAATGACAACACAAGTGATAGATTCATAATTGATATATGAGTTTTGAGTTCTTCTTAGTTGGTCTGTTTTGCCACATCTGCCTCATTTTTCAAGCCTATACTTTAGCAAGTCCAGTAAAGATACAATATCCCTACAGAAGAACACAAGGAACTCAAATTCTGGTCATCCATGTTTTTTAGGAAGAACCTATTGTAGAAGAACTATATGACTCTCTGCATTATGCTTTTAGAGATATGTCATCTGAAAACACATATCCCTGTTCACAGAATGAGGTATAACATAAAAGAGAAATTCTGAACAGAAATAATACCAGGAAGTAATTTTTCAATGCAGAGTCACTTAAAATATCAAGGACCTAAAATATTATAATAAATCCTAAAAATTTATCAATAAAACATAACTAATTATTAATTACAACAAAAAATAGTAGCTATTCAAGCTATGTTACACAAACCACATGGCTCTAGATTACTTTAACTAGTAAATGAGTATGAATCCCTATTGGAAAGGATGCTGCACACATTTTCTAGATAAGTTAGAGTATAATCATGACCTATAAGAAAAGAGACTACCTAATCACAACAGAATACATTCTGATGTTTGAGTTTCCAGGTAATGATATGCCAGGAAATGGGAAAGGAAGATTGTATAAGGTACATAGATAATTCTAAGGCTTATAGTCATGTTACATGCAAGCGGTACTAATAAAATGTGACTTCTTTGCACTATTAAAGAAACACCTCCAAATCTTACTACATCAAGGTGGTATAAAATTTTTTAAGTCTATTTAGGAATGCAATTTAGGATTTATGACAAAGGCAGGAATGCAACACAGTGGAGGAAAGGTGACTTTTTTCAATAAATTGTGCTAGATGAATATAATATCCATGCAAGCAAAAAATAGCTGAACTTCTTCCTCACAACATACACAAATAGATTGCCTATCTAAACCTAAAATGTGAAACAATAAAGCTTTCAGGAGAAAACACAGAAGAATGTCTCTGTGACCTTGGAGTTAGCAAAGTTTCTTAAACAGGGCATGGAAAGCATTAACCATGAAATTTTAAAAGTGGAAAATTAGACTGTGTTAAAGTTCCTACTTGATGTCAGAAATAACAAGAGAATGAAAAATCAACCAATAGGGGAGGATGCTATTCATTATAAATATCTCTGACAAAAGATTTATATTCAGAATATATATTTTTAAAAAATTCTTTAATATTGAGAAAAATACACACAACCCAATAGAAAAATGAAAAAAAAAAGAGACTTGAACAACCACTTCACAAAAAAAATTTAGAATGACTAATAAGCATGTAAACAAGGTGCTCAACTTCATGCAAAATAAAAACACAATATAATTCTACCACCCTCCCACCCCCCCCCCCCACCCCACTATGCCACGGCTAAAATGAAAAAGATGGGGAAATACCAAATGTTGATGAAAGTGTACAGCAAACATATTAGAAAAGTCTTGGCAGTATTTATATAAAAGTTGAACATCACAGTCTGTTCTGACCCAGTAATTATAATCCTAGGTAAATGTGCATGTGTCAACAAAAAACATGCTCCAAAACGTTTTGTTACACTATTCATACCATTCCCAAATTAAAAATAATACAAATGGTCAGCAAGAGTCCAACGGGAATAAACTGTGGTATTTTGGAGCAATGGAAGATAAAACAGGAAATAGTATAAGGAATCCCCAACTATACACAACTAGGTAACTGAAACAAGTATTGAGTGGGGAAAAAAGTGAGTGAAAGTCGCTCAGTCGTGTCCGACTATTTGGAGAGTCCATGGGCTATACAGTCCATGGAATTCTCTAGGCCAGAATACTGGAGCAGGTAGCCTTTCCCTTCTCCAGAGGAGCTTCCCAACCAGGGATCGAACGGAGGTCTCCCGCATTGCAGACGGATTACCAGTTGAGCCACAAAGGAAGCTCGTGGGGGTGGGGGTGGGGGGAGACACAAAAAGTGTTTGCACTATGAGTTCATGTATATAAAGACTGTTAATAATCTAGGTCATAGTTACACTTGGGACATGGAACAGGGAGAACTGGAAAGGGGTGGGTGTCTAGGTGTCCTGGCGTGCTTGCAATTGCAAAATGTTCTAGTTCTTGCTCTAAATTCTAGCTACAGGGGTTTATCCAGTTTGTGAACATCTATACAGATATATCCAAATTTAAAAGTTACGGCTGGAACAAACAAGAGAATAACGTCAGCAACAGATCAAACATTAAACATTGTATTAAAATCATTGAGGTCAAAAGGAACTCCACCCCCTAAGCCTGCGTGCGCACACGCACAATGAAGTGAAAAACCTCATTGGCTGGAACTAGGTGCGCACTTCCGGAAGCCACACCTTAGCACCGCCCCTTCCGTTTGCTGGTCATCCCGCCTTCTCGCCCCCGAGTCTCCGCACTCTCCAGCCCGGCAGCTTCCGCCCCCTGGACTCAAACTCCACCAAGGCAAACAGGGCTTGGCGGCGGTAGCCTTTCTCACAGTCTCCTCCGTCAGATCCGGCTCGCTGCCTGCCGCCATCATGAACATCCGCAATGCTCGGCCAGACGACTTGATAAACATGCAACATTGCAACCTCCTTTGCCTTCCCGAGAATTACCAGATGAAATACTACTTCTACCATGGCCTTTCTTGGCCTCAGCTCTCTTACATCGCTGAGGACGAGGACGGGAAGATTGTGGGCTACGTCCTGGCCAAAATGGAGGAGGACCCAGATGATGTTCCTCACGGACACATAACCTCACTGGCTGTGAAGCGTTCCCACCGGCGCCTCGGCCTGGCCCAGAAGCTGATGGACCAGGCCTCTCGGGCCATGATTGAGAACTTTAGCGCCAAGTACGTGTCCCTGCACGTCAGGAAGAGTAACCGGGCGGCCTTGCACCTCTATTCTAACACTCTTAACTTTCAGATTAGTGAGGTGGAACCCAGATACTATGCAGATGGAGAAGATGCTTATGCTATGAAGCGGGATCTGTCGCAGATGGCAGATGAGCTGAGGAGGCAGTTGCAGCTGAAGAAGGGGTATGTGGTCCTGGGCTCCAGGGAGAACCAAGAGACCCAGGGCAGCACACTTCCTGGTTCCAAAGTGGCCTGTCAAGAGAAGAACCCGGCCACTGATGGTAGCGGGAGTGACAGCAAGGAACCCAGTGAATCCACGGAAAGCCCCGATGCCCAGGACAGTTCAGAAGATTCAGACTCCACCTCTTAGAGCCTGTTTAAGGTAAGTGTTCTCACTTCCTTGACCCAGTTCCTATCTCCCCTGAATTCCTGCACCATACTTGCGTCGCCAGATCCCATCCCATCGTAACCGTAATGGATTTCGCTGTGAAAACACCCTGTTGACCTTGGGGAGGAGTGTAGAGTGGGTTGGGGGAAACTCATTGCTCATTATAGGAAGTTAATAGGATTCCATGCTGAAAGTAGATTAAATTCAGTAAAAAAAAAAAAACAAACCAACATTTATCCTGCCTTTTCGATATGAATTGTATTTCAGAATATCCACATAGTTTATGAAAGAAATTTCTTCTTTATAGAATGACAGCTAATAAAGGTAGAAAGAATGCTATAATTATAAAGTTGCCATTTTGAAACTCTTGAAACAATAGATGAGGCGGTTGTCATCAATGACTGATGCCATTAGGTGAAAGTTGGGACAGTTTGCAATGATGGATCGAGCTAGCAACACTTGAAGTCACTGGTCAGGTGTAGCATCACTCAAGTGTGCTCAAACTCACGTCCATCGAGTCAGTGATGCCATCCAACCACCTCATCCTCTGTCGTCCCCTTCTCCTCCTGCCTTCAATCTTTCCCAGCATCAGGGTCTTTTCTAAGGATATATATTGAAGTAATTAGAGTTGAAATAATAGGCCTTGGATTTACTTCAAAATACTCCAGCAAAAAAAGAAAAAAAAAGAGGTCAGGGAGGGGGAAATAGAAAAAATAAGAAAGACAACATGTAATAATTGTTGAAGTTGGGTAACAGGTACTTGGGGGGTTCATTATGCTATTTTTCACTCTATAATGTGTGAAAATCAACATGAAAAGTCAAAGAATAAAAGCAATTATTTTTCTTCCTACTACCCACTAACCAGTCACTGAAAAGTAGTTTTAAAAGACTATTTAATTTCCCATAAAGAACGTTGTAACACCTTAGCAATTTCAAGGGTCAATTTAGAAGCTTTAACTTCTAGTCACCTTACCCTTACATATGAAAAAGACAGAAACTTTCACATAACAAACTCCTGTTATGAGCGACACACTGCATATAATTAAATGCCATTTGACTCATTTACTCATTCATAAAAATTTGTGTATGCTTGGCATGAGACTTGGAGCTTGGTATACACCAGTGATTAGCACAGGCTGATGTTTACATTATATAGCATCTTATCTTTGTGGTTATCTGCTTCTCTTCCATTGTTATACTCTACCTGAGTAAGATTTTAAGTAAGCAAAGATAATTGGAGATTGCTTAGTATCTGATATGAGAAACAAAAATGACTGTCACTTTAGCAGGGGAAGAGAAAATAATAAATAATTGTAAGAAAATTACTGTGTGGCAGTTAGAAATCTCAGTGTCCAAATTCAGGAATAACTGAAATGTTTCTTTATATTACTGTAATTGGACTTTATTTCTAATCTGAAAGAGGTATTCCCTGTACTTAGTATAAGTATCCTTCCATGTTGGAATCTACTGCGACATCTTCGTTGGCTCCATCTAACCTTTGGTCCTTACGAGCCCCTTGTGGGTCCTTTCCAGTCAGAGGCCTCTTCAGGTCTCAGGTGTTCTCTGCCATGTTTGGGCCATTTTGGTAGCAAGGGTATTAATGTGCATAGGCTAGTTGTTCTAAAAATTAATCTCCAAATCTCAATAACAGAAAATAGTAACACACATTTTCTCACATCATGGTCAAGTCTGAGTCAGCATTGTGGTAAGGATGTGGAGGGGAGAGGAAAAGAAGGGCCCTTCTCCATGAAGTCATGTAGGACTCTTGCCTGCTCCTTAACCCTGTTTAGGGGTCTGCTGAAGCCTAAGGACACCGTACTTGTAGGGGTGGGGAGAAGTAAGAATTTTAGGAGAGGCTCAGCAGAGGGCTTCCCTGGTGGCTCAGAGGGTAAGGCATCTGCCTGCAATGCAGGAGACCTGGGTTCGATCCCTGAGTTGGGAAGATCCCCTGGAGAAGGAAATGGCAACCCACTCCAGTGTTCTTGCCTGGAGAATCCCATGGACAGAGAAGCCTGGTGGGCCAGAGAAGCCCTGGCCCAGCCCATGGGATCATAACTGAGTGACTTCACTCACTCAAGGGCACCTCAGAAAACTGCCTTTTAAAGGCTTGAAAATCTGTGCAATTACAAAGGAAACCAATTTTTATTAATACTGTTATCAAATTATTTTAAAATAAACTTATTTTGTTGTTCAGTCACTAAGTCGTGTCTGAGTCCTTACCACCCCATGGACTACAGCACGCCAGGCTTCCCTGTCCTTCACTGTCTCCCAGAGTTTGCTCAAATTCATGTCCATTGAGTCAGTGATGCAATCTAACAATCTCAGCCCCTGCCGTCCCCTTCTCCTTTTGCCTTCCATCTTCCCCAACATCAGGGTCTTATGTTATTTATGTACTTAAAAGAAAATTGAGTGTAAATGCTATTTGGAGATACCTCCAACAGCTGTAATGTAATGTGAAAACCTGTGATTTGTATTGGTGATAAAGTCACAAGGATTGTAACACGCTACTGTGCCTCAGTGCCTATATTCATAATTGAAGGAAATGCTAAATTTCAGCTGGAGGCTAGTGAAAATCCAGAATTTTTTTTTGTTGTTCCAAATCCAAGTTCATGATTCTCCCAAATTCAGTTAATGGATCCCAGGCTAAAGGCCCCTGATACAGCGCCATTTTCTAGAATCATGTCGTCCACTTGTTCATATACATTCAACTTGCAGATAAGGGAAGATAATACACAGAGAGGTTTATCTAGGTGTTAAAAGTCAGTCTCATTTACCTAACTATCTGCAGGGAAGATTAGATAGTGTAGTTTCGTTGTATGCCTGGGAGGAAAAGGAATGAGTTCTGGTAACCACACAACATAGTTTCTGCAGCAGTGGGAACCGCCCCAGTGGGAACCGCCCAGTGGTGCTCTGGACTTTGAGAAGTTCTGCTTCCATGCCTGGCTAGGAGCCTGGGATCTCTCTGTTGCCCCCTCCGTCGCCATAACTTGGCACAGAAAATTCTGCCAGGCTATCTGAGCTGTCTGCTTAATCGTACGACACACGTCTTCTGCACAAACCTCGGCATGGGAATCTGGGACCCTGCCGCCTTGCTGCCTTTATGCCTCTTGTTAAAGCCTGGAAGAATTGACCCCTCTACATGGAAATCCCCCGAATTGTCTAAAGCTGCAGTTACCATCCCTCACCTGTGTCCCATTCAGCAGGGGTTTATTAGGACATACACTGAGCTGCCTGAATGGGAAAAGACTTCTATGAGGAAATAAAGAATAGAGACAAAAATTATAAGGTTAATACAACAGAAGTATTATCTCGCCACAATTGTGGCATTCCCCATGTGGAACTGGAGTTAAAATACCTACAGAAGAAAGTCTTGAAAGAAATAACTTTTCAGTTTCCCTTATCTTCTTTTGGGTCTGGGCAACAGAGACAAAGTTAGAAGATTTAGAAGTGATGGTGAATAGGGCAGCTGGTGAAGGAGACTGGATGTCTTCCTCTACAAAATTTAATAAAAGTCACTGTGAGCACTGTGTCAGAGGCACTGTTCTAGGGACTACTTGTGAATTGTCTCTCTTAATCCTCCTAACATCCCTCTAAAGTACGTACCCAGGTAGTGCTGGTTGTAAAGAACCTGCCTGCGAATACAGGAGACATAAGAGACGCAGGTTCGATCCCTGGGTTGGGCAGATCCCCTGGAGGAGGAAATGGCAACCCACTCCAGTATTCTTGCCTGGAGAATCCATCCCACAGACAGCGAGGCCTGGCGGGCTTAAATCCATAGAGTCACACAGAGTCAGACATGACTGAAGTGACAGCACACATACATACATGCAAAATGCATTGCTCCATTTTACAGATGAGAAATGCCTGTCATTCAGACAGTAAGTGGAAAACAGGGATGCAAACTCAGATGATGGGACTCCACCAGGGTGAAGATTAAGTGGACAATGCCTGAAAATTGCTTAGCACAGTGCCTCACACACAGTTACTTATTCTGTAAATTTTCGCTTTTAAACTGCAGTGATAGTAACCATCCAGCCTATTTTTCTTCTCCACAGTAATCAAGTGATAGAATGTTGTGTATGAGCAGCAACAGTTTGCAGCCTTGGAAGGGAGATGCATCTTAATGATTAAAATAGCTTTCACTGACAAGCTGAATGTCAAAGCATTCAGCTGAATCAATGCTCGTCAACAGCAGAGTTTCTAAGGAGCCATAGCAATGAAGACAGGTCAGTTCAAAACATGCTAGTTAAGGCACGAATGCCATCAAATTGATGCTCCTGACAAGAAATATGTGGATGATTAATAACAAAAAGGGAAAAAATGCAGAATCTTAGAATTTTCCATTGAGCTGGCAATATTGAGTTAACCAAGGTTACTTGAGTGACTCTCCCTTTCTGGTTTATTCTTTCTGTCGCTAAGCTGTCATCCTAACAAAAAGTTGTTAAATGTTCACATGAGCATTCACTGAAATAGACTGTTCTTAATTTTACCAGACAACTAATTATAACTGGAATGATATAATGAAATATGGAAGAAAGTTAGAGACTGACAGGTCTGGTAAATTCCTAGTATAACCTTACCCCAGATATGCCAGAAACCATAGATTTCAAATGCTGCTTCACTGTATGAAGATAAAGAGGGGAGGGGGGGGTGGGAAGAGATAAAATATTGTTTTGAAATACTAATCAGATAGATATCATTTGTTGAATTATTTATAATCTGTAACAATGTCACTTTTCCGCCAGTGTGCCATGTATATATTTAGGACGACTGAAATACGAACTTTGTTAGAGGTAACTGATAAAAGCAGAGGCTTTTCCTAAATGTTATACTCTCTTCATGCTAAGGAGCTCTGTGGTGGAAGAGGTAAGGAAGAGACAATAATAACAGTTATTCTGTGAATGGCTGCGGTTCAAAGAGCCTTCCTGAAACATTCTGCAGTGCTTTCTTCAGACTGAAATCCTCAGACTATCATAGGATTT